TTATAGTCAATGTGACTGCTTCTAATAACATAAAATCTTACCCAAACAGAACTATGGGAACTGTCAAGCCTTTGGAGCTGGGAGGTCCTTGGAGGGCAGTCTCCCACCCTTTTGTCTACAGGTGATGGAGTGAATCTCTGACAGCGAGGTTCCATGGGGGCCAGGCACAACCCAAAACCCAGGTCTCCTGACTCCCACTCTGTGCTGGTCCCCCCACCCCATCCCCCGCCCCACTGAAACGCTGTTTATTATGCTCACTTTACAACTAGGTATGTTTGCCTGGGTTTTTCCTTAAAACTGGATTTTGGAAGTTACAATCAGATTAATGTGCATTTCCCCTTTTGCTGTTAAATTTTACATTAAAACCAATGTGCTAGGGTCAACACATTTGGGAAATCTTCGTGACTAAAACGCGGCTTACTCACAGTTCTGGTGATTTAAACATTCAGATAGTGACTACCCTCTGTCTCTCTTCATTTCAGTTTCACTACCCCTGCTGAAACGTCAGTCTTCCTTAAAATTAACAGTCGTTATAGTAAACATGAAGTCTCCATCATTGATCTTTAAGTCTACTATTAAAACATTTCTTACAAAAAGAACTTTCAGATGTTTGCCATTCATTATAAGGCCTCACTATAAAATTATATTAATTTGTGAATTAATGAACTTATGACCAAAACCTGCAGTCCTATGTAAAGTCCAAGTAAACAAATCTGTCAGCCTGAAGTTAGGTTAGGCCTCTCTTGCCTTGGGCAAATATTTACTCTCACAAAGGTTCAAAGATATAATTTGCTGACCTTATGGATCTTCCTCAAGGTTAAAAATAGAGCACTACCACTTAGTACAGATCAATTTTCACACTGAAATAATGAAGAGAGCACGAATAGAAATTACTTCTCAGTGACTTATTTCTTGGCACTTACACGGTAACATTATTTTACAATTCGGTAAATTTAAATCACTGGTGATTGCCCGTCTGAACAGTCATTATAACCACAGTACGTTGCAGCCATCAGGACATTCAACTGGTACCATAAACACAAGGTCAGCTTGTAGCAGAGGGAATATTACACATATTCAAATCATTCCACGAGCTTACTAGCAAGGAACTAGGTTGCCCAATGCCAATTTTCCCCTGAAAATAAAAACTCCCTCAAAAATAACAATAAAAACTTGACAATATGTGTGTGTATGTGTGCATAATGACCAATCTAAGGACAAAATAAACTGAAAAAGAAAGAAACTGCATAAACTGAGGACTGCAAGGACTCCTGGCATTGCATTTCCAGCTGAGTATTTCTTCTTCAGCTCCGGAAGGGCAGATGGTAGTTACGGGATGCTTAAGTTTTGGACAAGCCTTTGACGAAATTAAGGTTTTTTCTGAATGGTAGCAGACACAGCTATAGAATTCCAAGAGTACGAACCTCAAGAGCTAGTTATGCTCCTTATCTCTAACCTCTCCTGTTTGTAGGCTCCACTCTCGACCTGCTTGGTGTTCAGCTCTGTACCAGCACACCCCACAGCGCCTCAGAGATTTGTAAAAACCTTAAATGGTGAAAAGAACCTCGGAAATCCAACTCCATCTCTTTGGACTCTAAGAATTTCCTAAGCCCAGAGAGTCTGATTTTTAAGTTTTAGAGTAAGGTTCCTTTCCCTTTTGGAGTTTTGAGGCTCTAATAAGATTTATGGGTCTAGAATAACATACCCAGACATGGAAATGCACCACATTTTGGGTAAAATGTCACAGGGCTTGCACATCCCTAGTTTAAGTACCTCCTCTTCTGACTATGGGTTTCTTCATTACAGGTGTTTCCTTACTGGAGCTCTGCAAATCTACTTAATTAAAAAAAAAAAAAGTTATCTAAAGTAAAACAATCTAAAGGCAGAATGTGACTTAAGGCAAAGAAGACTGTGCCTATTGCCCCAGGCTGCACGACAGCTTTAATTTATTTCATTTTAACTTCCTTGGGACTTCCTGGGTAACTCCATAATATACGCTCTTATAAAGAGATAGAGGCCATCACTCAAAGCAGAAACGAAAAGACAACAATCAAAATCAAAAGCAATAATGAAATATTTTTAAAGATCTATATTAAAGGAAGCATTCTTTTTTTTTTTAAGATTTATTTATTTATTTATTTGACAGACAGAGATCTCAAGTAGGCAGAGCAGCAGGCAGAGAGAGAGGGGGAAGCAGGCTCCCCGCTGAGCAGAGAGCCTGATGTGGGGCTCAATCCCAGGACCCTGAGATCATGACCTGAGCCGAAGGCAGAGGCTTTAACCCACTGAGCCACCCAGGCGCCCCAAGAAAGTATTCTTATAACATTACAAATCCCCCATAAGTAAATAAATGCATATCTATTTAACTGTACTTCGCTTTACTGCATTTCACAGGTGATTACATTCTTCAAATCGAAGGTCTGTGGCAACACTGAGCCAAGCAAGTCTACTGATACCATTTTCCCAACAGCATTTGCTCACTTCATGTCTCTGTGTCACATTTCAGTAATTCTTGCAATATTTCAAACATATGCATTATTATATTTGCTATGGTGATGTGATCAGTGATTACAATTCACTGAAAGCTCAGAAAATGGTTGGAAATTTTTTTTTTTTTGTGATATAATATTTTAAATTAAGGAGAGCCTGGGTGGCTTGGTTTGTTGACCATCTGACTTTTGATTTCAACTCAGGTCATAATCTTGGGGTCCTGGGATTAAGCCCCTTGCTGGGCTCTGAGCTCAGTGCAGAGTCTGCTTGTCCCTCTCCCTCCTCTCCTTCCCCTGTTTGTGTTCTCTCTCTCAAATAAATAAATAAAACCTTTTTAAAAAATTTTAAAAATATATTTTAAATTAAGGCATGTATATATATTTTTTAGACATAATGCTATTTTTGAACAGTTAACAAACCATAGTATAGTGCAAACATAACTTTTATATGCACTGGAAAACCAAAACATTCACTAGACTGGCTTTACTGTGATACTCGCTCTACTGTGGTGGTCTGGAACCCAACACGCAGGGACTCCGAGATAAGCCTGTAAATGGATTTCAAGAAGAGACATTAGTTTTTATTCTTTCTCTCCTTCCCCTTATGATGGAGAACAAGCAGGAACAACCAACCCTTGCAAGGCAAATTCATTTCCTCCTTTTCTCCCATTCAAGTAAAAAGTCTATCACCAAAATTTCTGGTTGTAGGTCTAGTCCAGGGATATGGAACTACATACAGTCTATTAAACTGTAAATAAGGTAATGAGAAATTTTACTTCAGCTGTGCCATTTCTAATTAGAAAGGAAAAACAGACAACTGAAAATGAGATTTAACAGGCAGGACACCAATACTGATAATGTCTGTAGGGCAGCAAGTATACTTCAGATATAGATACTAACCTTTTCTGTTCTAAAAAGTTCTTCTATTGGTGTAGATACATTTCAACTCCACTACAGAGGAACATCACTGATATCTAAAAGTCCTGTGAAGGCGCACCTGGATGGCTCAGTTGGTTAAGCGGCTACCTCCGGCTCAGGTCATGATCCCAGGGTCCTGGGATCAAGCCCCAAATCGGTCTCCAGCCCCGCATCGGGCTTCCTGCTTGGCGGGAAGCCTACTTCTCCCTCTCCCTCTGCCTGCTGCTCTGCCCACTTGTGTTCTCTCTCCAACTCTCTAATAAATAAATAAAATCTTAAAAAAAAAAAAGTCCTGTTAGAACTGACAAAAGAACAGAAAGAAGTATCTCTGGGTATAAGGAGCACATGATACAAAGGAACAATGGCAGAAGGGAGCCCTGGATGCCTGTTAATCACTGAAAGGCTACCAGAGAGGAACTCCCTAAAAACAGGCTGGAGAGAAAGCCAGACGCTCTCAGTTCCCTAGGTCACACTTTCACCTGCTTCCAAGTGATTTCCAAACTATTCCCAGATGTGATCATTTGACAACCAGAAAGTAGTGCCTGTTTTCTGAGAGCATTTTTTTTTAATTTAATAAAAGTAGGTCACCTGAGTTCTAAGAATGTAAGTTCTGGTTATTGGAGTTCTAAGAATTTAAGCTCTTCCCAAGGAAACCAACTGGCTATTTTTACTTGAGATGACTAAAGGCAAAACAAAACAAAGCAAAACCCCAAAAAACAAAAACCAAAAAACACCAAGCAAAATCAACTTAGGAACATTCTAGGCAGTCTGACTTTTCCTCTGGCAGAAAATATTGTTGCTTAAAACAGAACATAGTGTGTAAGTATGTGTGTAACTGGAGTTAAAATCCAAAGATGTTTGATATTTTCACTATGAGGTTTAAGGTACCTTTACTGCCTAAAGTGAACTAAAACTCAATGAAATTCAGAGAGGGGTAAACCATGCCCTCCTTTTGCCACCTGCACGCAAATACAAACTGTCCTTTTCACTGTGTACTTCGTATACACATTATTGCTCATTCAGAAGTAATTCTTTTTCTAGTCAATATAAAACACTTAGGAAACAATTCACTGGAAACATCCATCTCAATGCCGTGCGTGGCAACGGAAGACTTCGACCAACAAATTAAACTGCACCCCCCCCCCCCCACGGGCTCGTACCAGGAAAACCACAAGAACCAGGAAAGATAAAAGGCACTTGGAAGTCTAAATACAGGCACTTTGGTCGATAATGCAGCCTAACAGCTGGGAGAGGAGACGGAGGTCGTAACAGAGGATGGAGTGAAAGAAGTCTAAGCGGTTGACTAGGCTTTCCGACGCATTTCCTGGACCCGCGCAACACGCTCGGGGGCCCAGGTCGTCACCGGGGACCCAGTGGGGGTGAGACTGGGGTGTAAAGGCTGCCCCACGGCGGGAGGTAACGCCCCCCTTTCCAGCCGAGAGAGAAGGAACTGGGGGTGTGGAAACCGCTGCTTCCTGAACAAGCAGGTCGAGAAGCAGCAGCTCGGCAGCCTCCCACGCCCGCAGGCCGGAGGCTCCGGAGCCAGACCCCTTACCCCCAAGTCCGACTCGCCCACCCCGGCCGCGGACTTACCAGCTGCAAGGCTTTGAGCGCGAGCCGACGCAACGGAAGCCGGCCCAGGGAGAAGTAGGCGGCGAGGCCGCTCCGGGCGCCCCTGGCCGGGCCCGGGTCCTCCTCCGTGGTGGGGCCGTACACCGCTCCATTCTCCATCGCCCGGGAACGCGGTGGCCGCAGAGGTGGCGCCGCGGACCTGACCGACTCCAGAAGGACCACCAGCAGGGCCGTCACTTCCTGGGTCTCCGCCCACGCTTCCGCCCCGCCCCGCCCCGCCCCGCCTCCGCTCTAGCCCCACCCCATCCCCTGCGTCTGCGCCTTAGTCACTCGTCGAACGTACTGAAGTTCTTGGGGGGAAACCTTTGCGCAAAGAGAACAGCATGTCCTAAGGACCGAGTTAGGAAGGAGAGAAGAGGAAGTTGGAGTTGTAGGCAGAGGCCACATCATGTAGGGGCCTTGTAGAGCAAGGAAAGAAATTTGGTTTCATTTTGAGTGCAGGGCGTTGTCTGAAAGGACTTTCAGGATTGCTCCCTCCTGCATCTCTCTGAATTCCTTTCAGGCTTGTCAAAACCATTTAGTTTACTTGTCTCTTACTTGTGCACCAACTTCCGCAGTCATATATGTTAATTTTGTCTCAACTTAAGGAAATTCATATTTTTATATTTTAGCAACTGAAGGTGATTGGGTTCCATGTCAGGCACACATATCCTGTCCTCAACAGTGTAATGTAGGTACTATCATTACTTTCATTTTACAGATGAACAAACTGAGGCCAAGAGGGGGAATATATCCAAGGGCAGGCGGTTAGGGGTAGCTGGAATGCAGACCTACATAGTCTTGACTCAACCTTGTTGCTAACATAAACTCAGCAAACCTCAGCCTCTAACCCATCTCGCAGTCAGAGCCTCAAAATCCATGCAAGAGGGGAGGGGCCACTGCTGCCACCTACTTCCATATTTAATCTAGTCTCCTCCCTGGTCCCAAATCTCCCTTTCTTCCTCTGGTAACAGAACAAAAGCCCCCATTCACAGGAATAGAGACAAGTAGATACTACTCTGCGGGGGCTGTCTATACAGCCAGCCCAAATCAACCCTCTGTCTTTGATTAAATGCCTTATAAATGTCCTGCCAAGCAGCCACCAATCGTGTTCAATGAAATGAGACCACCGTGTTTTCGCCAGGGCTACAAGGACTCACAGCCCTGTTATTCTTCAAGTTGCCATCATCCCAAATCAGACATTACCGAAGTCTGAAATTTACTTTGAAATTCATCCAAAAAAAGAAAAAAAAAATCAGACAGGTGGAAGAGCAGAGAGCAGGATAAAAGAATAAGCCTGTGACAAAGTAACCACATTAACATGTTAACGGGGTAGTATATGGGTGACTACTGGGGTCGTTTCTTAATTCAACTCTTCTGTGTTTGAACATTTTCAAGATAAATTATTGAGGGGAAGTTATATTTAAAAATTTTGATCGAGGAGAGAAGATGGACAGGTTCTCCCAGCCCTCTCAGTTTACTTAAGGTGCACTTGGACAATGCACTAGGGGGTCTCTACTTCTTGAATTTAGAAAAGGATAAGAATTTAGCTCATGATTCACAAACTTTGGGATGCGTAAGAATCCCAAACTGGGATTTTTAGCTGGGAAGTTAACTAAAAACAAAGATTCTTGGAGATCTGCCCCCAAAGTTTCTGAATTTGGGTGGGTCTTGGGAATATACTTTTGTAACAAGCTCTCCAGAGGATACTGGTGAGAAATCTAAGCATATGAAGGAACACTATTTTATGATGTGATAAGAACAAAAGCCATTACGCAGAGGACAGCAGATGTATCATAACTTCTTTTGTCCTGATTGATTTAGGGGTGCCCAAATCAGTTAGATTAAGGCACTAATACCCCTCCCAGTTAAAACAACAACAATAACAACTGTGCATCGCTTAAGTTTTCTTGATTAAAAAAAAGTCAAATAAAGAGTTTAGGGCTTCATGAACAGACACTTGAATTAGGGACTCCATTTGATGGGGGCATCCAGTAGGAAAACTGTCATGTTTGGTCATGAATAAACAACACTGAACAGTTAAATGCTGAGATTTGCCACAGCAAAATGAGAAATCTTATTTATGGAGAAAAGATCTACCAAAGAGAAAAAAAGAAAGGCTCTTTTAAGTTTTGAAGAATATTCTTTTTTCTCCTTCAATATTATATAGTTAATATTTTTTAAATGAGGCAGAGGAAACATTCACAAAAAGAGATAGTCTGGGAAAATACACTTTGGTGAGATTTTAGACATTAAAAATTAATTTGGTGCTACTTTTTTTCCGTTGAGATTTTGATTTTTCAGCCATCCCTACTCGAAAACTTTTATTAGCTTTCTTATCTATATTAGCACAGTTAGGCAATAATGTGGATACAAAGTCGAATCATAGATGAAGTCCTACAATGAGGCCCCAGAAACCTCCATAAAAGACCATGTCATGAAATAGAAAGTGATAATGTGCTACAAAAGAGATACAAATTAAATGTGCTGGGAAAGAGCAAAGAGAAATCACTTGCAGCTAAAGGATCAGCCTGGTAGAATTTCAAACTGGGGGTTAGAGGATACTTACCCTTGGACATGAAGAAAACAGGACAGAGGATACTTACTGTAGGCAGAGAGGCAATAGGAAAGAAGCCAAAGAAAGTATACACAGGCACAAAGATGGAAGGAAGGAAGGACAGAGAGGAGTCACAGAAGACAATATGTAGGAGGTAAAATCAGTGAGACTTGGAGACTGGTTTGTTTGAGGAGGAAGGAGGCATTAACCCTTGTCAGTGTCAAAGTATAAATTTCAAAGAATTAAAAAGATGACTCTCATATAAGTATATAGTGAGCATGTTTCAGAGATTTAATTTATTAGTAAAGCAATCAGGAGAAAGTAAAACTGGTCCAGAGGAGGATACAAGAGATGGTGGTATGTGTGTATATCTGTGTACATATATTATATGGATGTATGTATAGTGTTTAAAAATATATAGTGAAAGGGAAAAATGCTGGAATATGGTTGCTAGGTTAGACTCAAAATTGACTAACCTCTACAAGGACAATAAAATTGTTGCCTTTGTGATTAACTCTAGCATAGAGAAATCATTTCACCTCTATCAGACAAAAATCATTTGTAGTTTATCAATCTTCTATAATTAACACCTAACTTCACAGACTCTGGGCCCAACTGAGTAATAAATAGTAAGTCACATCAAATTATCTTTCAACCAACAATGACCCATAAGAGGGTTTGGTAGATGATTTGCTGCTAGTCCAGGGGTTGGCAAACTTTTTCTGTAAAGGGCCAGATAGTAAGTCTTTCGGATTATGAAGGACATTTAAGTCTCTGTCACAGACATAAAAGTCTCTGTCGCAGCCACTCACCTCAATCTTGCTGTTGTAGAGTAAAACTAAATGCCATAATGCTGTCGTATTCCAATAAAACTTCATGAAAACAGGCATTGGGCTGGATTTGGCTCATAGTTTGCCAGCCCTGTTCCTGTTCATTATTTCTTGAACTTGAGTGATCATCATAATCACTGGAGGGCTTGTTAAACCCCAGACTTCTGGGCCCCATCTCCACAGTTTTTGCCTCAGTAGATCCTGAGTAGAACCTCAAACTTTACATTTCTAATAAGTTCCCAGGTGATGCCTGATGCTGCTGGGCTAAGACCATACTTTGAGGACACTATTCTAGTAGGACACGGGTAAGAGCAGTCAATAATCCTTTTGCCTTATTTCCAGGTTTTGGACCATCTGTCTCAACAAAAGACAGATGAAAAAGTCAGATTAGGCCGGAGGTTTCAAGTGCCTGAGGGCATCAGGTGGAGTTCCTGGTAAATTGTTTCAAACTTGGATCTGGAGCATTGGAAGAGATAAGGCATTTACGGGGACACACAGAACTGACAAGTGTTAAGGGGAAGCACCTATAGAAAGGAGAGGATTTAGGCTAGAGCTTTGGAGGGAGTGGGAGAGAAGGTGAGGAGGAGGCAGAGAAATAAAGAGGTGTTCATCGCCAGCAGGAGAACACAGGAAGTGGTGCTATGGAAGGCAAAGCAACAGTCTTACCTTTTCCTTACCAACGTTTCCAAACGCCGCAGAGTGGACAAGAATGCCAGATATGCAAAGAAAAGTTTGGATCAGATATCTTCTTGGGATGATAGTTTATCAAGTTCCTCTCCCAACAAACTAGAATAGAGAGGAAAAGACATCAACATGTTCAATCTCCACATTTCATTTATACCAGCAGAGGGCTGCAAGGGCAAAGGAATGCTAGTAATGCTTTTTGATCTAGGGTTTCTGCTCTCTGCAGGGAGTTAATTCCACAGTGATATTTGGCCTGGGGGGCAAGGAGGACACCATGGGTTGCTTAGCGCCCTTGCTCTCATTATCAGTTGGGTATTTTTAATTATTATTATTTATTTATTTGAGAGAGGGAGGGAGGGAGAGAGAGAGAGAGAAAAAGAGATATCACAGGTGGGGGGAGGGGTAGAGGGAGAAGCAGGCTCCTGTGATCCTGGGATCCTGACCTGAGCCAAGGGCAGATGCTTAACAACTGAGCCACTCCAGTGCCCCATCAGTTGGGTATTTTACTACAGGACAATCTGATTAGTTGGGGGACAGATGTGATGAAGAAGGGTAGATGCTTCTGACTGGGAAGAGAGAAGGTGGGGTCCAGGTTGGGATTTGGATTACGGGGAGTCCCTGTCATCACAAGGCCACCCTTAACACAAGACTTTCCCTCATAGCTCATAGAGTCATTAAAGATTATAGAAAACCGTGTTAGAGGTTTGTTGTTGTTTTTAAAAAATATTTATTTGTTTATTTTAGAGACAGAGAGATGACGCGAGCGGGGAAGAGGCAGAGTGGAAGGGGACAAGCAGACTCTCCAATGAATGTGGAGCCCAATGTGGGGCTCAGTCCCGGGCCCCCGAGATCATGACCTGAGCCAAAATCAGGAGTCAGATGCTTCACCAGATGCGCCACCCAGACATGCCCCCGTCTTAGAGATTTTTCCTCGTCGTTGAATAAATATTATCTTTTGAAAATGTGAAAAATTAACAAATCTCAAAGGAAAATCATACAAAAGGGTATCCTTAGAGAAGTGCTGCTCAGCCTTTATACCTTCCATCTCATTTCACCCAACCACCCGCCGCAGGTCACAACTTGTGACT